AATTAATCAAATAGTGATCATGCACGTTTACTGATAATTTTAACATGTTTATGCAAAGTGGCATTAATTATAACAATATTGTGTGAATATAGTGTACATTTGTGGCACCGATGGGCCAAATAGTTGTGCATTTTGTGTACACTATAACGAGACCAGTACTCTATATAAGGCTATAATAGCGGTGCTGTGAATAGCAATGTATTGTCAATTGACTATAACTTAAGAGGTTTTGTTTGGCTTTGCTCTACAAGTTATACAAATAATGTACAGTAGTTTAGGCTATGCTATAGTGTTGTGTATACTGTACTCTATATTAAGTTTGAGAGCAATTGCCAAATGGTATGGCATTTGAAGAGCTCTGAGGAGTTCATCATTTTGTGTTTCATAGGAATAACACAACGAACACAACGGGCGGTCCTCTCAAGCATTTCAATGCTGTTTAAAGAAAGGGGAGGACAGAGGAGAGAGAGAGAGAGAGAGAGAGGCCTAAGAAGTGAGAGGCTGTTAAAAACGCTCATAACTCGAGTACTACTCCTGAGCGCTGACCTCCGGCCAAATACCTAGACTTCTCGCTAAACATAACACATAGACTGGCATTCATTGCCAAAAGGCCTTACAGTACGCCAATCACCGGCCCATCGCTACCACACTATATAACCAGTTCTTCCACTTTTGTTCATCTCTTCACTACTTTCACAACTATTCACTCGTTTTTATCGTATAATTAGATGTTTTTAATTATTAAAACGATAACAAAAAGCTATTCCTCTATTCCTATGTTCACTAACATGTTTGGACTCAATTCACACGTAATTCTGTATTTAATATATAAATGATAAGAATAAACATGTGATCACAAATTCATTCAATGCTTTTACAATACAAATAATAGCACACAAAGTGTTTGTTTGAATTGAAAATTACTAAATATTTGAACACTAAATAAAAGCGAAACCCAATAGTGACTGGAATTTTAAGGCAAAGACTTTTCCTTTGATTAATGAAATGGAAAAACAAGAAAAGCAAATGAAATTCACTTTCTTTTCGCTCATAAAATATATTCTAGAATTGATTGTCGAAATCGATTGTAAATCAGAAAATAAAATATGAGCTGAATTTTGCACAACCATTAGGAATGTATAGGCGCTTAGTTTATAGCCTCCGGTTTTACCCCTCGACCTCTCAATACATTAATTATCCACTTTTTGACATATTGTTTAAAACCATTTTAAGACTAGTTTTTCGCTTTTAATTTAATGCCAATAAATATTTCATAAAAAAAAACATTTGCTATGAATTTGATGGGAATGTTGAATCAAATGAATTTATTTGTATGTTTTATTGTACGGCTATTCAGGCAATCAATTGGACTCCATTGCGGGATCCGATGAGTTGGTTATCACGACGTTTACCGACGGCCAGAATGAGACGCCGCAGAACGTGACGGTCGAGTCCGCCGGCGCTACCAATGTTATAGTCCGTTGGGAACCGCCGGCCAAAGAGTTATCGAATTCAATAACGGGCTATAAAATTAAATATAAAATTAAAGGCAATAAGAAGATTGAGACGATATTAACCGATGGGAACCGACGGCTCTATGAATTAACCAATTTAGAGAAAGGCGTCACTTATAATGTGAAGATACAGGCGGTCACTGCGAACGGCACCGGACCCTCAACCGACTGGTTGTCTGTCGAAACGTTTTCAAATGATTTGGACGAAACTCAAGTTCCCGATAAACCCAATAATCTAAGGGCTAAACCCAATGCTAACACAATATACCTGAGTTGGGCGCCGCCTAATAACCAGAATATAATGATTAGGGGCTATACGATCGGTTGGGGAGTAGGCTTTCCCGACGTCTACACCAAAGTGCTCAACGATGGAAAGCAGCGCTCGTTTACTATCGATAACTTACAGTCGTCTTCGGAGTATGTGATAAGTTTGCGTGCATTCAATCAGGTCGGCGACGGACAGCCCATCTACGAGACCGTCAAAACGCTGGTCGAATCGACGCCCGAACCGCAGCTACCAATGCTTCCGCCCGTCGGCCTCAAAGCTATTGTCCTCTCGTCGACCACTATTATCCTCTATTGGACGGACACTACACTCGCGCGCAATCAGTTAATCACAGATAATAGACGCTATTTAGTGAGATATACCAATAATTTTCACTCGAATAATCCGAAGTACAAGTACTTCAACACCACTGACTTGAATAGTATGATCGATGACCTGAAACCCAACACTCAATACGAGTTTGCGGTTAAAGTGGTGAAAAACCGACGCGAAAGCACATGGAGTATGAGTGTGTTGAACATCACCCAAGAAGCGGCTCCTTCTTCGCCGCCCAGAGATTTAACAGTAGTGGCGGCCGTCAACGACGACCCCACTGTCATCAACCTTCACTGGCAGCCGCCAAAGCAGCCCAACGGACAGATCACCGGTTATGTCATATTCTACACCACAGACAACACCCAACGCGACAGGGATTGGGTGGTCGAGGGTGTGATCGGCGACAAAATGACCACAGTTTTGAAGGGACTCTTACCCGACTATACCTATTACTTCAAAATACAAGCGCGTAATAACAAGGGTTACGGTCCCATATCGGCAGAGGTTTCATTCAAAACACTTCAAGGTATGTCTGAATGCACTTTTTAGCCGCATTTTTCTCATAAGCACTGTTTAATGCAATTATTATTTTACACGTATTATTAAACGCATGATTTAATAATACTAATTCTTGGGCACATTTTTCTAATTTGTTTGTTTGCATGAAATGATTGATTCACAGCTTTACCCGATTCTCAAGGATCGCGATATTATGGTATGTGTTGTTTAGTGGCCATAATATTAATGCACAAAATTATTAATTATTGACAATTTTGTTACTAAAATGAGTGTTTATTTTCCATTACAACCCCAATAGACGGCCGCAATATATCGACGAACACTCTGTACATAATAATAGCGGTCATATCAGGCATTTCAATATTGCTGCTCATAGTTGTGGGCACTTTGCTCTGTCGGTCCAAGAATTCTGCCGGAGTTATCAACGCTATGCGCAAACATAAGGGATATATGGCTGCGGCCACCAGTCCTACAGCTAAAGGCGCGGCCATGAAAGGCAAAGGAGGCCGAGAACTCAAACCGCCCGACCTATGGATTCATCACAACGAAGCTCTTGAACTGAAAGCGATCGACAAAAGCCTTACGAACGATATAATGACCGCAACTATTCAACGGAATCCTCAGGAAATGGATTGCGATATCATTTCATCGAAAAAGACGTCCACATATAGCGACTCACTCTATGATGACATTAACAAAGAGATTAAAAGGTCGTCGTCTCCCACAGAATCGACATTAATAATTAGCGGGACGTCAACCACCGGTCGGCGAACGGGTCGCGCGAAACCAATCACAATACCCGTCGAACAAACGCCGGTTTCCAACGGAGCCATAAGTCTGGAGCCGTCGACCGGTCTGTCGCGACCGATGTATCCGCGGACGCAGTTTAATATTCCGCGCGCACACGTGAACGTCACTCTCGACTCCATCGACGGACCCACGAGTTTGCACAGTTCGGCGCATCATCTGTACGATCCGGTGGCGTCGCCCTCATTGCATATGGGCCTCGGCTCCAGTTCGGTGGCCAACGGTCCGCAAATACTCTCAATGCCAGTGAACAGTCCGTCACCTCAAGTCATTTCAAACACTAGTCCCGCTATTAACTATGGTTTAGGCAAACGACAGTCCGGCCATCCATTAAAGAGCTTTAGCGTTCCGGCGCCCCCTCCTCTCACTACACCACCAAATGTGTTGCCACAGCATAACAGTACGAATCATATCTTCTCTCCATTTAATACCGGTATATGTTTTAATAATTTGATTTGATTTCTAAATCTAGTGGTCAGACCTCAGTTCATACCGAGTCCTCATAAGAAAATGGCAGCAAATGGTATGACATCATCGCATAAGAACTCATTGACACCGACCAGAACTCCCGACGCTCTACGAAGAGAAGAATTAACTGTAAGATATTGACAATACGTCTGGACCTATGGTTTTTAGCATTAAAGCTAATGACTTGTATTTTATAGTCCTCTTATAGTACAGAAGAGTTGAACCAAGAAATGGCTAATTTAGAGGGTTTGATGAAAGACTTGAGTGCCATCACAGCCAAGGAGTTTGAGTGCTGATGATTGTCACAACTGGTTTGCTATATATGAACGCTTCGGTCAAACATTTTGAGCTCAATTTTGATATTATTTAACTGATTTGGAATTGTGTCACATTTTAACTGTGTTTTTAAACAATTTACAAGAATCTCACAATTTGTTTATATAATTCAGCATTTTTTAAACCATGTGTCATTTTAAAAGAATTGTATAATTTATTGGAAATTTTAAATTTTGTAGTAATTATTTGTGTTGAGGTGTGAACATTGAGATTAACTTTTATCTATATCTAATTCTAAAATCTTAAGTCAACTGTTTTTTATATAAAATGATAACTTATTTATATAAATCTATTTATGTAAAGGAATTATTATATAATTTTAGTGCCAATGCATGCAATGAAGTGTTTTTAATTTGAATGATTAGAATCTCATGAATGCAAAACACATTAGTATTGAGTGTATTATTATTGCAATTATTGTATATTCTGTCGATTCTGTAATCAATGTTTGAATACATTCTAATAATTATATGTAAATTGAGAATCAATTTCTATGATTGATGTCATGATTAGTGCCATTCGTTTATTGTGAACATAAGTCGTGTCAATACAACAACTTATTTATTACTTCATTTCTACTTAATTCTCATCATTTTATAAATATAATGCAATTTTCATTACTTTTATATAAAACATTTTTAATTCATTTTTTGTATAAAAACATTACGAATTTATTTGAAATAATCATGAAATAAAAATTAATATTCAATTTATCACATCTACTGTTTCACAAACATTTTATTTGTTTCATAAATATGTCCAACATTCTCTCTCTCTCTCTCTCTCACTCTCTCTCTCTCTCTCAATATTTTGTGAAATAATATTTTAAAAATAATTATATTAAGAAATTAACGAAATGTTTAAAATAATTGTTTTAAATGAAAGAATGTCTTAATTATCAATATTTGGTAGAATTGCCTGAAAATTAGCGAAATTATGAAAGAATTGGAAATAAATCTTATTTTTATCGCTTATATTACAAGTAATAGAGTTTGGTTTCAATTGTCTCAATGTATTGAAAATGATATTAATTTTCTTAACCGAAACGCGAACCGAAACCCAATGCCTGTCGTCGTTGAAAGAGCTGTCATCAGTGGTGTTGAGCTCTAAATCCGTGAATTTGGTCTTCAGAGCGATTGAATCGGTTTCTGCGGTAATCGTCAAAATGGTTTTGTTGTCTCCACTGACTCGCGCTTTAAGCACAACGAAAGCGCACAACTCGTTGAGCCGTTCAATCGTCGACATCACTGTCAGACTCTCCGGCAGAAAGAAAGACAACTAAAGGGACAACAAATGGATCAATCATTTGGACTGCAATCGCAAGAATGGCATTCAAATTACGTCATAAGTGCCGGAATCTAAGCCACAGATTTGGTCCCAGTATTGGGTTTTAATGATCTCCACTTTGATGTCGTGGGAGACATATCTGTCGGAGTCGTTGGTCGGGTACTCGACTCCGATGGCCAACACGTGAGCGTTGGATCTGTTCGTTAGCTTCAGTTTCAACGACTTAATGATTGGCATCAATGAAGACATCACTTGTTGGACACAATCGGAGCGCATCTCGAAGTAGATGTGATTCCTGTCGGCGCTGACGCCACGGAAGACATACTCCTGGAAATAGTCGTCACAATTGAGATCACATTTGACCACAAATGGGGACAAACTGTTGGATCGATCGCTGATTAAATGAATCGACTTTTCCGATAACTTCACGTAAAAAGTGTCCCAAAATTTGGCCACAGATTGAAACACTTTAATCAATGACTGGATCTGTTGTCCATCAGTGATGAGACCCCGGAATCGCATCGCGTCTTCGGCTGTCGATCGGCAGACAAACCAATTGTTGAGACAATTAACCACTGATTGAGACAATCGTTTGACAACTCTTTTTGGCACAACTTTTGGTCACAAAAATATCTTATGTTTGAAAACAGCGTTCGTTTCGCGCATTCATTCAATACGTCGTCATTTGTATTGACTTTTCACGCATTCAATGCTGCCTTCGATTCAATGCATTCATCGCTTGTTTGCGTTTTCATCACTCGTTTTGTTGATTGCGTTCACAATTGTTGTATGAATTCATCGAAAATACAATTCAATAGCAATTAAAGTGAATAACAATTGACTCACTTTTGGCGCCCATTTGTGGCCGTAATTGATGTCTAGTTTAGTGAGAATTCATTGAAAACATTGTTTTGATTACAAATACGACTCAAAATCGATTGCATTTTGTTTTCAATTCATTTGCAAAACGTTTTGCTATAAAAAGACTTTAAAATCAATCCATTGTTTGCATCACTCGTTGGACACAAACATATCTGAACGCTATGTTTGGCTCCAATAATAAGTCTTTGTTCGGCAGTTCCAGCACTTCCAGCGCCTTCGGACAGCCAAACACTTGTATGTATTGGTTGTCTCATAACAAGCCATTCATTAATTGTCTTTTTGTGTCCACTTTTAGCCACATTTGGAGTGCAATCGCAGCCAACGAATGGTCCCTTCGGAGGAATGGCTGCATCGCAACCGCAACAGACATCACTCTTCGGCTCAGCCACTGGTCAGCCGTTGTTTGGGTCGACGCAGAGCTCTATATTCGGGTCGACGCCAAACACGGGCACAACCAATACGTTTGGCTCGCAATCGACGGCCAATGCTTTCGGCGGAACCACTTCTTCTATCTTCGGCGGAACCCAACAAAACAACTCACTCTTTGGCGGCAATCGGTTCGGCACTGCGGCCACCGCTTCGCCATTCGGTAGCACTTCGTTGGCGCCAACGATGGCCGCACCCAACGGAACGACCGTTAAGTTTAACGCAACGGCCGGAACCGATACGATGATGAAGAACGGAGTGTCGCATAACATCAATACAAGACACCAATGCATTACATGTATGAGAGAATAGCTCTTGTTCAGCAACCTTCTCGAGTCTGAGCTCCTGATATACCGGTTATCCTTTCCGGGCGTTGTCAGCTGGCCATACAAACCGTTGTGCTGCCCTCACAGCGGCCCTTTGTACAAGCCGCGGAGGACCGCCCCTCAGAACACATTCAATGCCACTCAAAACACGAGTCTTTTCGGTCAAAATAAGCCCACTTTCGGGTCAATGGCTCCGACGGGACCGACGCCTACATCGAGTACGGGTCTGTTCAACACTTTTCAACAAAACAAACCAATGTTTGGAAACACCACTTCATTTCCAAGTGTCACGTCTCAGCCGTCGACCACTTCTATGTTTGGTTCGGTTTCCACATCTAATCCCACACTTAATAATTCCTTTTTCAACACTGCGCCCAACACTACGGCTACTGTTAAGCCACTGTTTGGCGCGACGACAGCACCGACGCAGTCGTCTCTTTTTGGGGCAACAAATGCACAGAACAATAGTTTAGCCCCAAAGCCATTGTTCGGCAATCCGACCACTTCTGTGGCCCCGTTTGGCACAACTAATACATTATTCAATACGAGTCAACCTTCAAATCTATTCACCGGTTCTCAGCCATCGCTGTTCAACACGGGTTCGGCCGCCAATAACCAGACGCTAAACAAACCACTCTTCAACTTCAATAGCACGCCATCGATGCCATTGAACTCATCGATGGGCGGCACAGGAGTCACATCGACGCCCAACATGTTTGGCACCCCTTCTAACACGTTTGGGACGACGGGCTCAATGTTCGGCGCCGTTCAGCCGAGCTTTAACTTCGGGCCCACAAACACCTCATTCCAGTCCAACGCCTTTCAACCAAACACTGGACTGCAGCCGATGCCCACCGCCAGCCCGTCAGTCAATACCGACCAATTAGTGACTCGTTTCCAGACCTTCCCGTACGGAGATTCGCCGCAATTGCAGATCGATGTGACCATTTCGCCCA